GCACGTTGCCAGCAGTGTTAGTTATTTCACTGCCAAGAGAGAGGTGAATGATCATGCTAGGACAATGTTTTCTCCCCATTTCCTTATTTTGCAACAGGATCAAAACAAATTCCGTGTTTTGTATCTGAATAAAAATTAGTTTAAGATGTTCTCGAACTTGATATGTAAAGGGTGGRATTCATTTTATCACATTTTAGATGCCTGCAGATCTCGCATCTGCATCTAGGCTAGTTATGTGGGCTCCTTCAATATGACTTACCTCATCGTAAATGTTAATGTTTAAAGTAAGTGTTTTATGAATTGTGCCGCAGCACTTCCCATTCCCTGCTGCCAAGAATGTGTGGATGATCAGCTCTGATCAGATGTCCAYGGTGAAGAGTTACACAGTAGGCTACAGGAGTCCTACCCTAAATGACTGCAATCAAAAATATAGCTTTGGGCAACTAAGGATTTGCAGGGTTCAGAGGGATTTTACACTACTGACTAGCCCTTTCTTTCATTTACCTGCTTGTAATAACTGCAGTCAAATGTTAACCATTTCCCAGGTAATTGTCTGTTTCATCTACGCTTCACTAAAAGAAAAAAAATCTATATTTAATCTGTAAAGGAGCCAGGTTTGAGCATAACCTGAGCTTTAGGTGGAGCTGAAAGAGAAAAATGTGAAGAGAAGTATGAGCTTGTGTTTAAATAAATGCAGAATTATGCCTGCTGCTTGCTCTTATGATCACTGGCTGGACATTAGACTATCCATTTTTTTTCTCCTTTTTTTTTTTTTCTCTTGCTCCTCCTCTCACTCTTTCTCCTGCTCCTTCTCCTTAGAACTTCGGAGAAAATACTCCAGCTATTTGTGAAACAGGAGGGAGCCCTGTGCACCTTTTTGTAAAAAAAAAAAAAAAAAGCTCCTTAGGAAGCTTTTATGGCAAGTAATGCCAAATGCTAGAACTAAGGTTAGATTCCCCCACAGTTCCCCGCCGAAATCAAGCAAAATCTTTACTTTWTATCTTTGGAAATGTGACCCATTCAGTTCAGCAGGGCGATGCAATTCCTGTACTTCATACTGCTTCTCAGCGGGAGCCCGATCCGAAACATCAGCCGAGCATCCTGTCTGGCTGAGAGACGCATAAACACTGCTTACTGAATGGGATTTAATCTCATGTTGATCTTCACGCAGTCCGTGATACCATATGGTTTTGCGTTTTAATGGCTATCCTGTTTATCTCATCTCTGTGACTTGAGGCCAAATCCCTCTGTTGAATGGATGCATTATTAACACTAGCTGGAAGTTAAGCAAMGAAAAGCTTAATGATTAAGAGCATGCATTCCTCTAAGTGGTCGTATAATGTGGCGTTAGCCTCAGGTTCGCTCTGTAGCCACCCTGGCGTCCTTTGTTTCGCATCTGTTGCAGCGAGAGTTGCAATTCTCTGACAAAGGAAGGTCATTTTTGACAGTAGCATAAGGATTTCACAGAGGCCCTTCCCTCCCGCCCTCAAGATGCAGATAGGGGGTTTTCACTGATGATAGTACAAATTTCAGTTCAATCAACAGAAAAATGAAGAACTGAACTCTTTGAATACACACTCTTCTGACTTGGCATGTCCTTTAAATTTCCAGACGACTGTATACATTTTGAAATGCTCTACAAATAAAAAAACCGTACAGAAAAGCTTTCCTCATGTATCACTAACACAATACTTGAATTATATAACTCGATTTGCTTAAAGCAGTTGGCCATTGAGGCTTTCCTTAAACTAGAAGAAAATGCTGCATGTGAGAGTTACTGAAATACGGGTCTATTTTCAAAAGCTTGTGATAAAGTGAGTGAATATTTAACGCTGAGTTGGCTAGAATTTCCAACAGGGTTGTAGAAGATGCTATTTGCTACTCTGTAGCTCTTGAGAGCCTGCAGAAGACAGGCTAAATTCTTCTTTTGGCCCTGGTATATGATCCTAAAATACACATTGCCCTTGCATCCACATAGCAGGTGCCTATTGCAAACATTTCGTGTTTTGTATGCAAATTTCTGTTGGTTTGGTGTATCAGCTGTAGCATATTAGCTAAACATATAGAATAAGTGACTATCGACAAGAACAAATCCTGGACAAAAACAAGGCATTTTTTTTCACATTATAGGGCCCTTGTCTCTCTATTTTGGTCTTGCTTTGAAAAATACTTTCTTACTCATAAATTATTTTCCTTAGCTGTATATTTTTTTTCTTACTCATAATTTATTCTTACTCAATTTATCTAAAATTCATACAGTTATCTGCAGACAAAACTGTAGTCCCTTTATTCTGCTTCTGTGGTGATTCTCTGATGTGTCTTCCTTCATTTCCTCCTTCATCTTAAGCTATTTTTCTGAGACCACGCAGGGCTGAAATAACAGAACCATGAGGGTGGCTGTTCCTCCAGATATGTGTTCTGAGTTGGCCTATTTTCTCCCCTTTCAAATAGTCTTTTTAAAGTTATTTTCCTTGGGAGGTGGGGACTGAAGATCATCTAACTATGGAGAGTGACCCTTTATTGTTCTTGTTTTTGTGATTTGCCAGAGAAACAGCTCAGATCTCAAGAGGCCTCTCTTGAAAAGGAAGAGAGTTTTTGATAAGAGTGGAGTACACCCAGGGGCAAAATAGCACAGAGTTGCCCTACTTATTAAGGCAAGTTAAGCAACTGTAAAGGAAGGCCCCACATACTCTATTTTTCAATAATATATATATATATATATTCTGATTTTAGATGATTTGCAATAGGTCAATGAGATACAAATGACTATAGAAATGTGCAAAACAATAATAAAAAAACAAATTTATAAAAGTTCTGTGTGCTGGACAATCAGATTTTGTGACAGTCCCCTTCCCTCCCAGAAAAAAATATGAGGAGCAAGAGAAAATAGTCATAGGAAAAGAGCTACACTTAATAACTGGAAATACAATCTTAAAAAAAAAAGAGCTGAAGTTGAGCACAAGGCATTCATAACCATTAAAAACAACAACAACAAAGCCACACATCCCTTACTTTAAAAGCGAGGGAGGGCAATTGACATTGTTTATGGGAAACAGGAAAATGAAACTGCAAGACATAAATATCGTATTGAAAAACATATGCAAAACGAATCAGTTTTATATTTAATTGGATGCTATCCAAGCAATAGAAAAATACATGGTTCTTGCTTCAAGGTAATTTGACTATCTGCCATATAATTCATGCCCCCAACTCCACCTCCCTATCTGACAAAAGCACTTGAAGTAATCTGAGGAGTTGAACAAAAGAAAAACAGGTATATATTTAAGTGCTGGCAGAATGGGGCCCCTTTCGATAARTCAAACTAAGACCCAATCATGGTTTTTGCTCCTGCTTATTTCTAAGTAAGTTTAAATTAATTATTGTTGGCAAAAATAATGAAGATTCAGTCTTCATTAAAAAAAGTGTTTGCTCTGTCTTAACTATTCAAAACTGTTACAACATGGTAGGTGAGATCTTATTTACTGTAAGAAAGCTGAATAAGGTTTGGTGAACAGTCTTCAAAGTTGACGGAGAAAGTTAACATTTAACTTTCTCATGGTAAACTGCTTATGAACAACTCTGAGCGTATTTAATCTTACGATAGGTTTTTAAGAGATATTAAATATTGTTCCTTCGAGGGGGGAACAGATGTGGATAACAATGCTCAGCCAAAGCTCTGTTTGTTTTGGCAGTTATAATCTATCTTACGCAGCTACATTATGTTTTGTTGCAGGGTTTTTATTTTTCCTGTGCTCTATCGTCGTTGTAAATGGCCATGTAACCTGTGTCTTAGTACCTAAGACAGGCATGGTCAACAGGAGAAAAAGAGCAGGCGTTAAGACTGGCGCATCTACAAAATGCACTTCATTATTATTATTATTATTATTATTACTTTTTAAATGATTTATTTTAAAAGAATTTGCTGGGCTCTAAATATACAAAATTAGAAGTCCCGAGGACAAATAATTCCCCAAGCCAAGCATTCCTGCAGCAGATCGCTATCCAGTGGGCATTACGTCACTGTTCGGTTTCCCCTCTTTAGCAGGAGCTGAAGAAAAGGCCCTTTTCATGTGGGGAGAGACCAAGTCACTYAGGCCGGCGAGGGCAAGGTCTTATGAACCCGTGCTGCATTTTGGAATAAACCTCTGTTTCCTCTTGTGACCACTGGTGAGGGGGGTASGAGGAAGAACGAGCTGCGGGGTCAGAAAGGAAAAAAAATAAAGAAAGAAAAAGGGAGGAAGAAGAGATTTTAAGAGGCCAGCACAAGGGTCAAATGGCGCAACACACGTAGCGGCAGCCGAGGTTTAGATGGAAGGGCTGGGAAGGGCGTCTGGATCAACGGCTTGGCGCTCGCGGGCTCTCGCGGGGAAGGGGCCGCCCGGCTTCAATCCGGTTTCTCCCCTCCAGGAGCGGCTCTCGCTCGGGGTCCCGGCGCGCCGCTCACCGGCCGCCCCGTGCCGGGGGAGCCCCGCGGCGCTTCCCTGCCCCCGGGCAAGGCGAGGAGGGAGACGCGGCGGCGGCGGGGGGTGCAGGAGGTGGGAAGGCGGCTCTGGCGGGGCCGCGGCGGCAGCACCGCCCGCCCTGGCGGCGCGGGCCCGAGCCCAGCGCTTGTTTACGGCTCCCGCCCGTGGCGGAGGCGGCGGCCGACGCCCCCCCCGCCCCCTCCGCGGCCGTTACCCGCCCCCGCCCCCTCCGCGGCCGTTACCCGCCCCCTCCGCGGCCGTTACCCGCCGGCCGCGCGCGCCGCCTCCTCCCCACCCCCCTCCGCCGAGGAGGCTTCGCCGCCCCCCCCCGCCTCCCAGCGCTCAGCCAATGGGAGCGCGGGGAGCGCGCGAGCCGCTGACGCCCCCGCGGGCGCCCCCCTTTTAAACGGGAGCGGCGGCCGCGCGGCGCCCCTCGGCGCGGCGGCAACGGGTGGGTGGGCGGCTATGCCCGCGGCCCCCGCGTAACGCGGAGCGGGAGGAGGAAGGCGGCGGAGGAGGCTCGGGCGGCCGCTCGGGATGGCGCCGGTGAGCGAGCAGCCGGCGCCGCAGGGCGCGGGGGGCCCCGCGGCCGCCGCCGCCCCCGTGCCGTGCCCGGCGGAGCGGCGGCGGGAGAACGGCGAGGAGCGTTGCCCGGCCAAGGGCGGCCCCGCGGCCACGGCCGCCGAGCCCCCCGACGGCGGCTGGGGCTGGGTGGTGATGCTGGCCGCCATGTGGTGCAACGGCTCCGTGTTCGGCATCCAGAACTCGTGCGGGGTGCTCTTCGTCTCCATGCTGCAGCTCTTCGGCGGCGCCAACGACACGCAGCTCGCCTTCAAGACAGGTGAGCGCGCCCCGTGTCCGTTAACGTGCCCGTTAACGTGCCCGGGACGCCCAGGCAGCCCGGCCCCCCCGCGCCCCAGCCCGGCCCCGCTGCTGCCCCAGCGCCCGGGAGTCGATGACCCCCCGGCGCGGGCTCAGACACGTCGGGAACGGGCTCGGCAGCCGCCCCGAGCCGCCCGCCAGCGTTTCCACGCGCGGCTTTGCACGTGCGAGGGGTCTGCCGGGTCCGCCCGCCAAGTTCGTGGTGCTTAACAACATCTAGAGGCGTAGCGCCGTTCTCACAAGCAAATCTCCACCCTGCCCTTAATGGTGTCAATAATTCCAGACAGGTAAATATACATTATTTCTGAGCTAGGTGTATTTTCTCATGTACGTTCCCTTTCAGAAGYCCCTTGTGCTTTTGACTCTGGAAGTTGAGGATAGACAGTTTTCAGGTCTCCATTAATGATGAGTAATGATAGCAGTTTAGCACACTGAATAGCAGTGAGGTTGATTTTTTTAAATACTGTAATTAAAAATCAAGATAATAATTATAATATTTCTGATTTCTACTAAGAAAGTGTTGTGACTTTCTAGTCCAACAAGGTGCAAGATATTGGGAGCTTTCATCATACAGAGTGGTGTTGCAGACCTCTGAAAGAGAGTAATTATGTGTGTCTGCCTGGAAAGTCAAATAAATTGAGCCCAAATTTGGCATGAGGGAAAAAGAAGCATATTTTTCTTCCCTAAATGAAACTCGATTGAAATGCTTCTGTCTCTAGTAGGAAATCTAGRCAAGAGTAAGAATTTACAGTGAAATGTTATAATGTGCATTCCTGTGTTCTAACTRTTTGTCATCATCTGTAATGCATCTGGCAAAAGTTTTTGAGCTCAAAGCAATAAGAATCATGTGTGTCTACAAATTACGTGTTGCAGTGCCTGCTTCACTTAAGGGAAATGAGTAAATACACTTAGATGCCTACGCTCCTTGTCCTGTGCATGAGAAGGATGAGGGTTTTTCAGATGAGGTGCTATAAAAATTTGCATGTTCCTCTGGGAGCCATTGACTGCACAGAAATGCAGAAACACGTACGTGGTTGCTCTTCTAACCATTCCTGGTGCAGAAGTGGAATTGCTTTTTTCTCAGTATTAGAGTCAGTAGCAGCGATCTTTCCAAATGGGGTTCTCCTGCTTGGAAAACATGGCTTGTTATGCAGCAGTGTCTTGCTCAAAGTAATCACCTGGAAGAGGATTGGAAATTGTTATCTCTCGCCTTCCAGGGGAGTAATCGCGCTGTGACAGAACTGGAGGGTGTGCTCAGCCAGACCGCAGCCTGCTTGTTTGTGCATCCCCGCCAGAGGAACAGGGAGAATCCTGAGCTCTGAGGAATGTGGGCAGCACCTCCTCATAGTTTCTTGTATTGATTTATTTATTTTTTACTCTCCCACATTAAAAACCCTTAAAACTTGAAAGTGGCAAAGAGTTTTTGTTGTTGAAGGTCCTACCAAAAGTTAACTGAACTAAAGTAATTTTGATGGCAATATTTAGCTTGCTGTAAAAGAGAGTTGTGATCAGAAATGCCAAATGGCACTTGAGTCTTTATTGAATACCAATGAACCAGCTTGCTTGTTCTGTGCAGGGAAAAAAAAAAAAAAAAGAAAAAAAAAAAAAAGATTAATGGCATCAAGCCAGCATGATTTTCATGTTAAGGAAATCCCTAGCTTGATCATTTCTATGGTACTGATTATAGTACTTAATCCAGTTAGGTTTCATGTTTAGAGTGACTGTAAGTCAAAATTGGCCCTGGAAACTGATCTTAGAGTCAATCTTAATGAAATTCAAGTCAGAATTTATAGTGAAAAGTTTCTTGCTGCATTGATGTGCTTTAGGATCGCAAGCTTAGTATTCAAACTCTTCTGAAACAAAGCTGTTCTGTTAAAAATCTGAAATGGTGATTTAGTTATTTATTTTGAGGTGCATGTATATACCAGGCAACCTCTCCTGGGACCCCAGGTGTCTGGAGTCTTGCAGTTATCCAAATACCACAAAATTCTGGCAGTTCCCGGTAGCATATGTTTCCCTAAAGCCCTTTTTTCTGCTCTTTTGGGACACGTCAGCAAGTTTTTTTTCTTGCCATTTATTGTCTTTGCAAAGAAGAATTAAGCATGTTATGCCACATGCTGCTTTTTCTATTAGATAGAGGTATGTCTGTCTGTCTGTGAGTGAAGTGGAAGGAAACAGGAGGGGCAAAGATGTAGTCGAGACAAAATTCCTCATCTGCAGGACTAGCGAAAGGGTGAGCAAGGCAGCCAGGCTGCCTCCAGACTGCAGCATTTGTGCTGGGTAAATAACATGAGYAGTTATAAATAGTGTCACAGAGTGAGGGTTTTAATGGAAGAACTTGTGTGGGTTAGAGGGTGCAAAAGGAGCATCTAMATAAAATTTGTATTTGTGATGAAAGATGTTAAGCATAACTAATATACAATATTTTGGTAATCACATTAGTCAAAAGCCCTTGCTATGTGTAGTGCATAAGCAAATGAAGCATTTCCATAGTTTCCTTGCTTAACTATTATTTTTTTCTTTGGCCAAAAGCTAATTCATCCATGTTTACAGAAGAGGAAAAACAAAACAAAGAAACAAACAAAAAAAAAAAAAACTTAACACTTTTAAATATAATTTTTTTAAAAAGATGTACCTGAAGTCTCAGGCAAATAATCCATTTACTGTTTTAAGCTCATTATTGAGAAACGAGTAGAGCCAGTGGTAGCAAAGCATAGGTGAGACTTGGTTCTTGATTATAGTGCAGACCTATACTAGACCTCTAATATTCAAAAGCAATTACAGTCTGAGAGTACTTGAGGAGAAAGGATCGGCAAGAGGGGCATTTAACTTCTCGCCTCGTTACTGCTGGCAGCAGAGGGACCTGGAGCACTGGCGGAACCAGCGCCGTGTTATCTGGGTTAGACAGCCCTGTCCCGGTCAGCCCCGCGCGGCGCTGGCTGTGGCAGATGCTGCCGTGCGTGGGTGCGTGCGTACACGTGCAGCTGTGTGCGAGAGGGAAATGCGCACCGAGAGCTCAGCAACGTGGAGCGAGTGCTGCCGCGCGCCAYGCTGCTCCTCGCTGTGTCCCCAGCGCTGTCACCCGCTGCACCGCTGGCTGTAGGTTCACGGCAGCTTGTGCAAACACCCTGCTCTGACTCTGCTGTTCCTAGTGCTCACCAGCATCCTCGCTGCYTGTTTGTAATAGCAAGTGCAGCTAGAAGACAACACGTGAGCTGCGCTGAACTGGTTCTGCCTGTGCTGGTGTAACCTCTGCCTTGGTTTGAMTCCTTACGCTGCAACCTTGTGTCATATGCCTGGGTATCTGAATGATTGCTGTTTTATTGAGCTGGCTTAACGCTTAATAATGTCAGCGCTGCTGGGACTATTGAAACTGGATTATTGTGGGTTTGATAGGACAGGGAGGAGACCTCGAGTGCCTCGTAATCTGAAGATCTCTACAGAGACCTGCAGGTGATGAACAGTGATGCTGAAAACCAGTGAACCACTGCTACATATGATAACATAATTTTACTGGTCAGCCCTGATCATTTAAATTAACAGGACAGTTTTATGAAGTTGGGACATTTATCTTTTATTTGAAACTTTTGGTATTTTTCTGAGATTTGCTTCAGAGCTGATTAAAAGTTYTGTAGTTGTTCAAGAGGTTCCTCTGTGTGATCTTTCTTTTCACCCATTGCTCCATGGGATGCCCAGTAGAACTAGGAATTTGGCAAGCTGTGTACGGTACCTCATTTGCTTTTCTCATGTGGGCTATGAACGAGTTGTTAGTCCCTCTCTAAGAGGAGGTAAATCTACTGTTGGAACACATAGGATAYGTGAGCGTAACAACCCTAACTTGTGTGTAGGCCGAGAAAGTTTAACAGCTTGGGCTCTAACATTGAAGTGCAGCTAAAGATGCAGTTTTGTTGATGCAGTTGATGGATATTGGTGTTCCTGTCTGCTTCCCTCCCAGGTTTGCATGGCCATTGGAACCCCAGCAATGGGAGTGGAGTTTTTAATTAAATTAACCCGGTATAAAATTGTAGTTAGCTGCAGTTTATTCAGCTGCAGTCTTAATTTTGTTCTCTTTTGGCTAGCTGTATGAGTATAAATATGTAYGTAAGGCAATACAGGGATAGTTGAAGTTATGACTGGGTCAAATRGGCAAATTTAAGGTAGCAGTTTTCTGCTAGTTAATACCGTAATACTTAATATCTGTACTGTTTTTGTAAACACAAACACACCTCCCCTTCCTGCCTTCAGCCCTGGAGCCTTTCTTTTGCACTCCTGCAAACCACCTTGCAGGCTGAGTAGCCTTGTACCTACCAGTTTTCATGTTGTTGCAATTAATGTTGTGTGGATCTCATCCTGTACTTGGTGCAGATTAACTTGCAGCGAGTTGCTTAATTTGGGAGAGATTCGTCCTCCCTAGTGTGTCTGAAAGGCAGCTGCTGCTTTGAAGCTGGTTTCCTGAGGCTCCCTTTATCATTAATTGAGAAACCTGTAAAGGTTTCATTTTTAAGTTGAAATGCCTAGTTTAGGTAAATTGCTTTCTAAAATAAGAAAAAAACACTTTCTCTTTGACTATGTGGGAAGATGAGCTTAGGCTCGGACTATTAGAGACTCAGCTGCTAGGTAATTTAAAGTTAGATAAGTTCTATTCTTAGTATGCCTGAAGCCTGGAATCTCTCTRTCTACACTTTTCCATCTCCTTTAAGCCCCATTTTTTGATGTGAAGCTCTGAAGACTGTGGTGTCGTGGGCCAAGTGAGGCAGAGCGTTGCCAGCAGGTTGAGGGGAGTGATCCTGCCCTCTGCCCAGGCCTGGGTTCCCCCAAGCAAGAGAGATGGAGCTTCTGCAGTGACTCTTGCACCGGGCTATAGAGATGGTGGCTGGACCTCTCTCCTGTGAGGAAAGGCTGAGAGCTGTGACTGTTCAGCCTGGAGAAGAGAAGACTGAGTGGGTACTTTATCCGTGT